ATATTCCACAAACGATTTTCAGGATATTAAAATGCATGTTTGTGTTTGTGCGCGTACAACAGTTGATTTTTAAAGCCTGTCCTAGGAGCTGCTAAGGAACAGGGAACTTGATAGACAAGGTGACGCTTCAGTTCGGGTCTATTTCTTTTTGCCTTCATCACCATTGTTTTTTGTCTTCATCACCATTGTTTTTTGTCTTCATCACCATTGTTTTTTGTCTTCATCACCATTGTTTTTTATCTTCATCACCATTGTTTTTTATCTTCATCACCATTGTTTTTTGCCTTCATCACCATTGTTTTTTGCCTTCATCACCATTGTTTTTTGCCTTCATCACCATTGTTTTTTGCCTTCATCACCATTGTTTTTTGCCTTCATCACCATTGCTTTTTGCCTTCATCACCATTGTTTTTTGCCTTCATCACCATTGGTTTTTGTCTTCATCACCATTGTTTTTTGCCTTCATCACCATTGTTTCACTGGTTTTGTCTGTGGCTTTCCTTATCACCCAGATCAACAAGCTGCATACCCCCTGTCTCAACAAGGTGATCATGTGCTTGGAATTCACATTGACCAGATGGAGGTCTTCGGAGTTGTGTCATCCCTCGGTCATGTCGTCAAGACAGGATTCACTATTCGCCCATTCCCCACCACTTACTGTCTCCTGGCACTCCATTTTTCATTGCTGGTTTAGCCCATTTTGGTACTAGACAGAGGTTTGTCACTTTCATTATCCTTGGGACAGACAGAGACCACCAGACCTTGCCACCAGAGTATAGTGGTATGCTCTAAATAACGACTGGTCAATCATAAACATCTATGAGGATCCAACTTCTGGGTCAAACACGGGGGGAGGGGGGGGGGCATGGATGGAAAGAAGGAGGATAAAGACTAGGATAAGACACCTTCTCAAGTTAGTGTAAGGGCTGGGTTAGNTGTCTGCCAAGTTCCAAGAGTTGAGTTATACCACTAGACATTCGGTCACACATAATGGGTCTTATTAAAACGGGGGGAGCCAGTTCAACAGGAGCAGAAGTACTTTCATGAAGGCACCCATCCAGAAGCACTGAGGTAGGAGAGGCCATATTTCAGAGTAATCCAGAAATGCCATAGATAAGGAAGCACCTGGTACATCTTGGCAGTCATTACCTCTAAACAAGAGAGGCTTTTTCATGCGCATACCTGTTTTTTATCCTTTCCCCTAATTACTGAGTGACATACAAATATAGTTCACTTATTGTGTAATTTATACTACACAGATTTAATCCGGTGGCCTGGAGCCAAATTAAAGTTCTATCTTTCTGATGGTAGCAGTCAGAGCTTTTCTTTTCAGCTCTGTTATAAAACTGGGGGAGGGAAGGAGATGTGTGTTTGTACATTAAACCTTTTTAAAGGCTCATATTTCTAATAAGCGCGAAAAAACCACAGTGATAATATATTGCCTAGCTATGAAGTTAAAAGGGCTGGGAAACATTTGGGTAAATCTTATAGGTATCTTACTAAGGTAACCAGTTAATATCAGGACAGTTTAACATTTTCAAAACTTAAAACCAGGACACTTAAAATCATGGAGTGGCCTTGGGTGTCCAAAAATAAATAATAAATTGCTGTGTTCTTTTAGAAGAACTAAGTACAGAGGCAGAACTTTTGGCCTATTTTTTTACTACTACTACTACTATTATATTATAAATAGTTATATAGCTACAGGGCTATAGTATAGTGGGCTAGTATTAGTAGTAGTAGCTTACTCTACTATAAAAATAATAGTAGTAAACTAGTATAGTGAACATATTGATAACTAATTGAATGTATCAGTGTAAGAGTCATATATTTCCTGACTGATTCCCCTCATCTGACCGATAAATGATCTTGCTGGCTGCCGTCCATGGTTTGTCTTGTAAAAGTTATGTGGTGGGGTGGGTGAATATACATTGCTGTTCTTTTTTTCATAAATGTATTTTATTTTAATGTCACAATTATGTCTCTTTTGATAAAATTTTTATGTACAGTGCGGTTAGCCCAGCCCTAGGCTGGGGTACCGCTCTATATAAGACGTCTTATTATTATTATCATTATTATATCATATATATAATCTGTGCTGCACACTATGCACAGCTTAGGGCTGGGCTCAGCGCGCTGCACATAAAAATATTGGCAAACATAATCATGTCATTAAAAAATTACATACATTTATTTAATTTTAAAAATCTGTATAAAAAAAAACACACACAAGATAATTATATTCACCCTGCCCACCCCAGAACTATTTACATGTCAAGCCATGGATGGCAACTAGCAGCATCATTTATTGGTCAGGGGTGGTGGGAATCAGTTTGGATAGTAGAGTTTGAAGAGATGTGTCTTGAGGGCAGTTTTGAAGGCTTGGATGGTTGGTATATTGGGGATGTGTAGTGGTAGAGAATTCTATTGTTTGGGGGCGCAGAAAGAGAAAGATTGTTCCCCATATGTCGAAGGGTTGAATAGACAGAAAGTAGTTCGGTTAGATAGGATGGGCAGGAATCTGAGAAAAAGTTGTTATTACACTATAGTTATAGACATTTTAGTATTTTATTTATCACTATTAGAACTCTACTGTCTACTACTGATTTAATCAGCGATTATTAATTAGCCTATGCCTACACTAGGCCTACAGAATTATATTTATACCAATTGCAACTTTTAATATATTTTAGTAATTTTAGCTAATGAATGCAAGTAGTGGTGGACGGCGTCCAATCAGAGAAAGCCACCGTAGACTCAGGAGTTCCACAAGGCACAGTGCTGGGCCCCCTTCTTTTTCTCTGTCACATAAACGACCTACCCGATACAGTTAATTCTCAAGTGCGCTGTTCGCTGACGACTGTCTTATCTACAGAGAGATAAACAGCTACGATGACTACAACTACCTCCAAACAGATTTTAAGTGCCTTATGAATTGGGCGGACAAATAGGGCATGAAATTTAATGAAACCAAATGCTACACGATGACAATCTCAAGAAAAAAAACATCAAATCTTATTTACTCACTAAACAAGACAATCCTCCAACAAGTATCCAATAGTCCATACCTTGGAATTCTCTTCTCAAATAACCTAAAATGGTCACCCTGTATAAACAAAATTTCAACAACAAAAAATTCCACCCTGGGTTTCATCCGAAGAAATCTGCGCCACTACCCAACTTCCTGCAAACGAATTTCCTATCTCGCACTCGTCCGTCCACTACTGGAATATGGTGCGATCATCTGGGACCCACACCTTAAGCAAGACATAGACACGATGGAGCGAATTCAACGTAACGCAGTGCGTTTTATTGCTCGAGACTTCAAATCCACCACTCCTGGCTTCGTCACTGGCGAAAATATTTGACATCCCAGCCTTAAAGACAGATGAGAGGGACTCCGGCTGATATTCTTATTAAAGTGATCATGGGACTGGTGCCGGCCATCCCAGCAGGCCATCTCACCCGACAGAAGCCAGGTAGACTGATCAGAGCAAAACGCTCACTGAACACTGACTCACCACTGACATTCCCATAAATAATTGCACCAGAAACAATAGCAAATGCTTCAAAGCGCCTCAGTGCAATATCAACAATCTTTCTTCCCACGCACAATAATAGCATGGAACCACCTGAACTCGACATCAATCGGTCAAAAGCTTCAAGGCTGCCCTGGCATCAGCTAGGAGCTGTTAAAATAGCAACATCATATCCCCAACCGTTGCAAAGATGCCAGTACATGGATGCAGTATGCAGTAACGAAACATTACCCAGAACGCCCTGGCTGTGTGCTTTACAACGTTACTAAGCAAGGAATAAAGTAAATGCTTATAATTATAAAATATAATAATGTATATTCAACATTTATACTATAACTATAACAATCGACTTACCTTTTAGAGCCAAAAGTTGTTCCCGATCTCTATTGCTCTCCATTTTTTTCCAATAAACAATTATCACAATATTAATTTATTAATAATATTAATATTATTATCTTTGTTATAAACGACTGGAACAGATTTCGGGCCCAGGTTTTTGTTACTGAATCGTCAAAACGGTAATAAATATTACTCGTTGGGCCTTTCCAGGGTACACCCCTTGTTGACAGTATACCACAGAATCGTTTGTCTTGACTAGTATCTTTATAAATATTTACTTGGCCGTCAATACGTTAACAGAGGTGATAAACGGAACAAGCAAAATGCTGCGCTTACCATCTCTGTAAACGTAGCAAATTTATTTATTTATCTAACGTTGCATTTACCGCGGACAAAACCATAACACAGTATTCTGTACTGCTAGGAGAAAGGAAAGGGAAACACAAGGAAGGGGAAACCCTGAAAAAAGATACAACGAAACAATGTAGTGTCATCAGAGTGAATTCTAAATCAAAAAACAAAACAAACAACATATAATGAATAAACAACAAAAAAGTGGGTTTTTTCCAGGTCTTCTGCTTTACCGGTACTAAACATTTTCTTTAACTTAACGTGATCGCAGCCCACCCACCCCACCCCCGCCTAGTTATCCTTTTCAACAATGAACTACAATGAGCAGCGCCTTAATTAAAAGAAAATCAACACCTGATCATAGTAGAGGAGTAGTCGGGTGGGGGAGGGGCAGAAGTCCAGGCGACGGGGCGGGCGTCAAAATGGGTTTTGATGGTATTTTATTGATGAAAATAAGGAGTTTCAAAATTGAACAAAATTGTGTGTGAGTGGGGGGGGGTGGGATCCAACAATTTAGCTACGCTTCCGCCTGATAATTAAAATCCGAAACATAAAAATGGGTTTGAATGGTATTTTAGTGATGAGAATAAGGAGTTTCAAAATTGAACAAAATTGGGTGTGAGTGGGGGGGGGTGGGATCCAACAATTTAGCTACGCTTCCGCCTGATAATTAAAATCCGAAACATAATGTGTGTTAAGCGGTACTTGCCCGTTCATTACCACTAGACAACATAAGCCCTACTTGCTACGTTTACGGCGCGGTAAAAGTAGCTTTTAGTATATTCAATTTACTGCGTAGTTAAATATAGCCATTTCGTATTTTAATTTTGAATCGGAAACAATAACATAAATAACTACAATTGGCTTTAATATATAAATTCATAGCCTTAAGAATATGTTTGTGTTCAGAGTTGAGTTACGTTCTTTTCAATCCTAAAAACCTTGGAGAAATTTATCGAAACTACAAAAAAGATGCCAGATATTGGATTGCAGCATGTGATATCTTGTAGCAGCGCTGACAAGGTAGGCTGGTAATAGTAAATAGAGTAACTAGTAGTAATCAATGACAATGGTGCTTATTTTATATTTATACTAACATTTTAAAATGTGGATCCTGACACCTCTTTTTTTCGCAAGCATGTCTATGATCATCATCGACCCTGGGAATAGCACATCACTGCAAATATCAACATCAGCACTTGTTTGGGTCCCATGAGTTTGTGATAATCATTCAACATTGGTGAATCATAGGTTTCACTTAACTTAAACGTTTTTGGGAGACGGGGTATGGCTTATCTTAACCTGTTTACCAGATTATTATTAAAGGCCACCACATCTTGTTCAAGTTCAAAACACTTGATAATCAACGCTTCATCGCACGAGATTACAAATTACCACTCCTGGCTTCGTCACTGGCCTCTTAAAAAGATTTGACATCCCCTCCTTCAAAGACAGACGAGAAAAGCTCCGCCTAATATTCTTATATAAAGTGGATATGGGGCTAGTGCCGGCCATCCCAGCAAACACATATCTCACCCCACAGAAGCCAGGTCGATTAATCAGAGCCAAGCGCACACTAAACTCTGATTTCACCTCTAACAACCCCATAAACAATTGTACCCGGACCAATAGCAAATGCTTCACTGTGCCTCGTCATAACACAGTGCATTATAAACAATCATTCTTCCCACGCACAATAATCGCTTGGAACCACCTGGACAATGCCGCCGTGGACTCAACATCAATCAAAAGCTTCAAGGCAGCCCTGGCATCTGCTAGGAGTTGTTAGGATAGCAACATCGCTTCCCCAACCATTGCACATATGCCAGTATATGGATGCAGCAACGAACACTACCAGAACCAAATAATCGGCACTTAACGTTACATAAATTACTACAAAATAAATAAACAATTAATACTATTGTTACAAATGAACATTATAATTTAATAATAAAATAATATTTTGTAGTAATACAGATGACTAAAAAAAGAAGCAGCTTTATCAGGGAATTGATCCCTAGTCCCTAGGTGTAGTATCTTGCGTTTACCACAAGACCACACAAGATCATATCTAAGGGCCTTATCTCAAGACGAGGCCAATGTTAATTTTGTATGGAGATGTATGCAGACCTAGGTCCATAGTTTACCTAGTTACACAGGCGCTGTGTAAGAGGCCTAGGTCCATAGTTTCGCTAGGTATATCGCCACGGTGTATGCAGCCACTTCGATAAAAAATTGTGTACATTAAAAACCCATACCTCTGTCTGTGGATTCCCTAAGGCTTATGGGATTAGTCAGTCACTTAGTAAGTTGAAATGTCTCTTCCCCACAGTGGTGTAACTAAACAAGTGCAAAGTGGGCAACGACCCTGGGTGACAGCTTAGGGTTTATATTTAGGTCTATATATATATCAAAGTGGGTGCTACTAACACAGGGGGGCACACTTTTTATACATCATGCAGGTAGCAGTTAGTTAATATACATCACAGCTACCATTTGCCCCCCCCCCCGGGCATATTTTCCATATATTCACTTTTGAGATCATGACTGAGAAATTTAAAGTCCTTTTGTTATTATTTTTTTGTTGTTGACATTTTTGGTTGCTCAGTGTCAATTAACGGACATTGTGCTTTTTAATGTATGCATAGTTTACCACTTGTGTTATTTCCCTTACTTTTCTGCGCTTATTGTATAATGTGTTATGTATGGAGATTGTCAAATAGTGTTTGTTGTTGCTTGCCAGGCATTTGTGATTTACAGAATGTCAAGATGCCTGTAAGCTACTGAAGCGCTTCAGTGATAGGATGCAGGGTGGTTGGGTTAGCGAATAAAAAGTAAAACTCCAACGCTAAGTCAACAAGCTGGAAGAGTTTATTTACCATGTTCATCAGTTCACAATAGTAGACTTGGCTAGACTATACATAAATAATGGTAATTCCCTCAGAGGACTAATTTCTGCTCAAAGGATTTTTCTCTATTCAAATACAGACCTGTTTACTCTTATGATTTTGGCGTACAATGTACGATTTTGAGGTGTAGTATACATGTTTATTTTTTTACTATTAAGATAGTATATTGAACGATTTTGTGATGATGTTGGCTGCAAATATACTACAAGATCCAGTAACATCAAGTTCTTGACAACTCTTTAATCATACTCTCTCAATCTCTCTATCGGTCACGGGATATGCACCCACTCATTTTAAAACACTCAAACATCTTTCAACCAATAGACCCAAGCGTCCTTGGGACATGGAGTTTCCTTGCATGTAATTTAAACAACTCAATTAACCTTATTTATTATGCATTGATCAATGAGCGCACTTGTCTTTGAGACATACTTTTATTCTATTTAATTACAGTAGCTCACATGCCCTATTTAATAATAAGACATTCACTCATGGTTTCATGACCTTGACAGAGATGCCCATCTGTGCTATAGGACACTGCAGCTGACTGAAGAAGCAGAGTTTTTTTTCCCTTGTTAATCTTTTTCACCAAGAAAGCAGAAAGAATAATTTGACATATATAAACAGACTTCGCAATAAACGCGGTCAGCCTTAATTTTATTAAACATAAGCTGTGTCAATCACTTTAGTTTTCTCTTTATTGTTACTGCACTGAATGCATCTTGAAAATCATGTGTGTGTTAAATGAAAGCGCTTGTCTAGGAGATTATATTTGTGTGTGGAAATGACATTTAACATTAATATTGCGTTAAAGATTACACCTCAAATTTGAAGACCTATTCAAAGAAAATTTGATTAAACTGTATAAAGTTCACTGCAAATGCAAAAATTACTGGCCTTGTCGAATGGTAAAATACATTCCAGGTCCATCTGGTCTAAGCGGATTTGAGGAATACAATCTAATATTTGCCTTTTTTTGTATATGCATTAATTTCCTCTTTGATGTTATTTTGTTGCTTTCTCTTGAATAACATTCAAAATATTTGAACCTGAATACTTACTAGAAATCTGAGCTTCTTACCACTGTTCTATTAAATATTTAGTAAAGAAGTATTAACAACCTAAACATGCTCTACGTTACTTTTCTTGAGTTTCTTCAGGTGATGATTCATTTTTGCATGGGTAACATTTGAATTCTGAACTGTAATGGGCCGAATATTGTTTGCTTGTTGTACCAAAAAATGAAATTAGCTTTAAGAAGTATATAGGAAGCTGCTTTGCTCTCTCTAGACTTGCTGAGCTAGCTCTTGGAAAGGTTCGCATTAATTCATGATGCATTCCTATTTATGTGACAGCACACTTGTGTTGTTTTTTTTTTACAGAATAATCCAGCAGAAAATTTATTAGTGTCAGATGGAACTCATAAATGGAAGTGTGCCACAGCTGGAGAGAAAAGCATTTCTTGTATATTACAGGTAAGAAGATTTCTATGCTGTATAACAGTTAAGGCCAACCTGCGTTAAATATTTCAACCAGCCATTTAGAAACTGACTTCTTTGTTCAGTTTGCTAATATTTTCACTCTTGGCATAAACCCACATTTGTATTTAATGAATTATAAATACATAGTGATTTTTTTATGATGTAATAATCACCTGTATCATATGGTGTACCCGTCCCTTTTTTATCTAAATTTTTTTTTTTAGATTTATATTTAGTAATGTTTAATCTTAAATAAAAATTATGAAACAATCTTTCTAAGGATTTTTATAAACACAACCGGGTCAAAGGAACCTGAATTTCCATTAGCACTTTTTCTGTTCCTATCCCATTAAGTGTAGAATAATGCAAAACTAATTTCAGGTATGTGCCAAATGAATCCCTGCATTCTGAATTCATCAAACATTTTCTGAGGGGGGACTCACTGGTTTAAAGAGTTATATGTCAATTAAAGCCTATATGATTTTTTAATGTCTATTAACAGCACAACTGGATGTGTTTTCTGAGAATTATGTGCATTAGGAATAAATAAATATTTTCCACCTAGTTTATTTGGTGTCTATTGTATTTTATAGATGTAATAACATGCAGCCCGCGCAGAGTTGACTCGCAATGAATTTGCCCGTAAAGATTTTTGGGTTGGTCATCCCTTCTGCATAACATAACAATAAGGGTTTTTTTTTGTTTTGTGTAATAGTTGTAATAAAATTGTGCCACTGATCTGTGTAATAGTTGTAATAAAACTGTGCTACTGATTTATGTAATAGTTGTAATAAAATTGTGCTACTGATCTGTGTAATAGTTGTAATAAAACTGTGCTACTGATTTATGTAATAGTTGTAATAAAATTGTGTTACTGATTGTTGAAAAACATGGATCAGCAAAATGAAAATTATTATAATGTAAATTTAATTTATATGAATACATTATCTTTATAATATAAGTGTATATATATGGGTATAGTTTGGTAATTAATTTCAAATGTTAAATGAGGCATGGAATGGAAGAGGGCTTAAATTTGGTATCCAGTTTATTCTAGAGGGAGTTTTAACCTTTCACAATTAGGGAGAATTCCTTTTTTTTTTTACCAATTGATGTTGATATATGTAATGAAATTTCAAACATATTGTGTTAGAAAACTTACTTTTTCAATTGGTGTAAATAGTTTTTTGTGCTTTAAATTGTTTGCCTTTACCTTTGTCTTCAGTTTAGTCATTCTTGTCAGATTCACTCCCTTGACATTGGCAATGAAGGCTCTGCATTTGTTGAAGTGCTTGTAGGAAAAGCAACTGCAACATCAGATGAAGATTTTGAGGTTTGTCAAGTAAAATTATGTATAATTTGCCTCATCTCTTCTCCCATTAATTCAATGAAAATCTTTTATATCATTATAACATGCAGTTAGCATATGCACAAGTTGTTTCTATTTAGCATTTCAACAACTAATAGGTGACCCAATTTTTTTTATTACTGTTTAACAAATGTGTTTATGATTATGTCTTAAAATTGAAAATAATTTCTGGGAAAACTTATTTTAAATTGTATTTCCCTTATTAAGTCAGGAGGATATTAACCATTCAGATGAAAAAAAAGATCATGCTTACGTCAACAGGAGAAAATAACAGTTTGCCACCATGAAACTGTGGGACTTTGCCGATATTTTGCCTTTTATGAATAAATTTCAACATGTTAGCTTATCTAAAAACTAAAACTAATGTGCTAATGTATGGGGTACCGCAGATACCTACGCCTTGTTGTTATAGTTATATTGAAGTCATAGTTTTATCAAGTTAAGTTGATTCAGGAGCTTTTTTAGATTTTTTCTACCAAATGCAAGAGGGTGTAATGTCATAAAGAAAAACAAAGTCCATAAGCCATTTGGGATCACTTGGTACAGGAAAAACCACCCCATCCTTTTCCATGAAGGCTTTGAAGGCTAAGAAGTACTTATTGATGTGAAGGAAGATGCTACTGTAGAGAGAATGAATTTGGATTTTTTATAGTAGAAAAGGCTTTTTTGACTAATCGTATTTTGAAAGTGACCAAGCTAAAAAGCTCTGAATTTACCTCACTCATAAACACTAGCGGCAATTTTAATAGGGATTCTTTGATACTGTGTCAGATTGCTTTGATTTACACAATTATGGTTGTGCATTACCCACTAACTGACTTTGTAAAATTTTCTCAAAACCTTACTTTGGCCCTGTTTGTCTCATAAAATGCTATAAAATAAAAACTTTTAGTACAATTTTAAAATGATTTTTACCACTAAATCAACATAAGATCCTATACAAATATAATAAAAATCAGAATTAGACTAGCTGGTCAGATTTGACTGAAACCATCGCGGAGGGTCACATTATAGATATGAGAATGGGGAAAATGTGCACGCCGCTTTAACACTAAACTTTGCTATCAGGCACGGGAAGCAAAATATTGTCTTGCGGACTGCGAGTTTTTTTACCCCGGCTTGAAATTGTCATAGAAGACTGTAATGTCTTTCACTTTAATGTCTTTCCTTTTAACTCAGTTAATCATTCATTGTGTCTTTTGCCAATAACATCCTCATCTTGTTTTCCGATTCCCGTACGCTGAGTCACCTCAAGGTGTTTTATCCTTGAATGGTTTCCTGTAGATTCTGCCTTTGTCGACATTTGTTTTGACCAGAATTAAACAATTTAATCCTAATGTCAGTTTTTTTTTTTCTAGTGGAGGCATTCCTAAATATGCTTTACTAAGATTCCTTTAGTTCTCTTGACAGTGGCATTGCCCTCCAGGTTTATTCTTGTGGCTATGGTAACAATTACCAAGCTCCAAGGGATCTCAAGAAAATGATGTTTTTCAGTTTTAAATTTTTAGATGATTTCTATAGGCCCAGTAGGAGATTTTATTATCATAAACCTGAGTCTTCAGAACGGCCTCTCTAGTTTATATTAATATATTATAGGCATTCCCTTGTAAAGTCAAGCCATGATGATCTGAAAAAATTAAAAAACAAAGAGAGCAATTAATAAAAAAAATTAATGTCTCAAATCATGGGGTGACTTTTTTTAAACTTAAACTTAACCAACAATATATAGGACCTATTCTTAATTAAATTCATAGGGAAATAAACCATAAAATATTAAAATCAAAGTTTAAACTCACCTTAATCGCCACATATCGATGTCCAGAGTCTTAGAGCTCCAACAGTCCAATTTTATGGTTTGGCAAGGTAAGGGAAGGCGAAACTACACAAAGCAACATGTCTGCTTTCATTAGCAGTTACAAGTATAGGGGAAAGAACTCTAATTAGTAATGAAAACAACTCTCTCAATATAAGTCTTTAATAGGCAAAGTCACCCCATTTCATGGCACTGCCTTAGATTGTTCAAAGTTTTATGTCTGAGTCTTGAGCCTGTAGGTCCCTTTGCTATTTCCAGCTTTTTTTATTAGTCACACTGTGAGTAATTCGTTTGCTTGATATGACGCTGAGAATTAAAGACGTATTGCCAACCTCATTTCTAATAACATATAAATAATATGTGTATCTGCCTCAAGTCCTCATCCTTGGCTTTGTATTTTCACTAATTTATCTGTTATCAAATGGTTGAATAAACTATTACAATAATGATGGACCTTTTGTTTTAGGTCCTCTTAGTTGCATCTTCCTTCATGACACCACTGGAGAGCCGCAATGGGACCAACAGAAATGCAGTTCGAATGTTTGGCCCTGACAAGCTAAATAAACTCACAGCAAGCAAGTCCTGGGATAGAGTCAAAGTGGTCTGCACACAGCCATTCTCAAAAGTAAGGACCTCCAGCACATTTGTTTCAGTTAATACTTTTTAACACTTAGTTAAACTTAGTTAACCAAGTCATGGCTAACTTGCCGTCAAGTGTCCTCATTTTTTATTGCCTTTGCCTAATGTACAATGAATATCCTCTGAGTTCCTAAATTGACCTATCCAATTTTCTAGAAATAAACTAATAGTTTCCTACAATGGCCTGCCTAATGTGCTAGAAATGAACTAATAGCTTCTGTGCATGTGAATTAAACTGTAAAAGAATTTTTTCAATCCTATTAAAATTGGAGCCATAATGATCAAGGCATAGATCGTGGGCCCTCAAAATATAAAAGATAAAGAATTTTTTTTTTAAATCCTATTTTTTTTTATCTTTAAAAATGTTGTTTAATTTGTTTAAATGGGGTTTAATGTGTTCAAAAGTTGTTGTTTTTTTTAAATGGGGCTAATGTGTTCAAATGTTGTTTAATTTGTTTAAATGGGGTTTAATGTGTTCAAAAGTTGTTGTTTTTTTTAAATGGGGCTAATGTGTTCAAATGTTGTTTAATTTGTTTAAATGGTGTTTAATGTGTTCAAATGTTGTTGTTTTTTTTAAATGGGGCTAATGTGTTCAAATGTTGTTTAATTTGTTTAATTGTGAAATAAATTTTTCCTCCTTTAAAAAAAGTTTTTTTAACTCATTGTTAAAGAAATTTGGGGTTGTGAAAGTGTAATAACAATGTGTTATAATAAATTGTTGTTAATCTTCTATCGCATTTAGACATCTCAGTACGGGCTGTCATTCATCAAGTTTCATTCTCCGCCTGACCACTCCCAGGTACTCATAGATTCATCTTGTTATTGTTCGAATGTTTGTTGAACATTTAGAAGATCACAATAAATGTGTTGCTGCAGATTTGGGACCCTTTTAATTGTCCTTTTCAATATTTAGTCTATCCTGCATTGAGTAAGCCTTAGAGAAAGAAAGGCATCTCAAAATAACCTTTAATTAATAGGAACTATAACTTTATTCTAGCTATCTTTTAAGCCCCTTTAATTTGATGAAATAAAGCAATCCTTAAATCTGCCTCAGCCTCAATCTGTCCACAAAGCATGTACTAAATATTGTTCATTGGGAAATGGCATCCACAGGCCGTCGAGCGTAAGCTCTTAATGCCCCTCCAGCACCCCTCCACACTGGCCAGACACCAGGTTACCCCGCCGCCAGACCGCGTGGCAGCACCTGGGGAACCTCCCCCGGCCTAGACCGCCCCCACTCGCAGCCGCTTGATTGGACTCGCGAATGGAGGCTTTCCCCGCCCGAGGATGTCCGGTCAACCGAAAACGCTGCGTTGAATGTGTTCGCAGCCGACTCTCCCAGGGTGTCGGGATGGTAATTTTATGTCATATCTTCCCCCACCCATTCCGGGGAAGCGTCGGACGCCCTTTAAGAGCGTTTCTACAGTGGGTTTCCACCTCCAACTATTTTGCGAAGTATCATTCAATCTGTTGGTATTATTCAGCTCATCAGATAGCATGTCCTAAATATATCATTCAATCTGTTGGTATTATTCAGCCCATCAGATACCATGTCCTAAATATATCATTCATTGTATTTGGTTTTATTTAGTCTTTCACATTGTACGTCCTAAATATTTAACTTAATCTTTTGTCATTATTCACCCTTTCATACAGCATAACACAATTTCACTTAATCTGGTCATGGTGACAGTTATTCTTGTGATTGGTAATCGAGTATTTGAAACTGTATTTCAGAGCAATGTGACAAAATTGGGGGCTTTTTCACTTAAGGAATGTGATGATGATGAGGATATACAGGTGGGAACTTTATTTGCCAATCGGTCACTCAGAGAGAACCCATCTTCTCCAGTTCCTAAAGGTTGCTTTTGTCTATTTCTCATTTATCCATGTCAACATTTTGTCTCTATCCCATATATGTATGTCAACATTTTGTCTATTTCTCATTTATTCATGTCAACTTTTGTCTATATCTCATTTATTTATGTCAACATTTTGTCTCTATCCCATATATGTATGTCAACATTTTGTCTATATCTCATTTATTCATGTCAATATTTTGTCTATATCCCATTCATTCATGTCAACATCATGCCTATATCTCATACAACTTTTCTTGTGATCTACCTCTATGTCTCATACAACTTTTCTTGTGATCTAGCTCTAGTTGCTAAAAACATCAAAGAATCAAATATCATTAAAGAGGAATCTCCAATTTCAAGAACTGCAAGTGCTAAAAAACGCCAGGCACCATCTCCACCATCATCTGTAAGTTGTACATTTACTCAGTACAATAACTCATTACAACTCCATCTGCAGACTCATTACAATAACTACATCTACCCACTCAGTTAAATAATTACATCTACCCATTTATCTTGCTACAATAACTCTATGAGCCCCCTCAGTACCAGGCACAATAACTAGATCTGTCCGCTCAGTACAATAACTCCATCTACCCTCTCATTACAATAACTCCATATACCCTCTCAGTACAATAACTGAAACTTTCTTAGTGTCATGAAGTGTAAAAAGTCTACTGGTATGTTTTATAATGTGTAAATAATTTTAATAATGTAAAATAATATTAATTTGCGTGAATACTTTGTGAAGGGTTGGAGATTTTAAAAATTATTTCCCCTTCTTTACATATTTTACAAAATCTCATATCCGCAAACGCAAATTCGACCATGCAAAAACACTTCTGAGAGAGTTGCACTGGCTGCCGGTGCATGCTTGCATAGAGTACAAAATCGCAACTTTGTAATACTGCTGCTTACATGACCTGGCGACGTCCTATCTGAAAGAGCTGCTGACGCCTTATGTACCCATTAGAGAGCTCCGCTCATCCGATAGTGGCAAACTCTTGACACCACCTGTTTGCCTTGAGACTTGCGGAAAGCGCACTTTCGCATTTGCTGGTCCAACAATTTGGAACGCCCTTCCTGTCGATATAAGAAATAACCAGACACTGGAGTCCTTTAAAACCGATTTAAAGACATATCTATTTCGCAAACACCTTCTGGGATGATTGTCTACCTTATTTTCCAGTTAATGCATAATGGCTGTGTTGCTTATGGTTGAAATGGCTAGAAAGACTTTGCCATTGTATGCTTGTAATTAGTTTTTGTAGTGTTGCGTTTGTTTTAAATGTGGTAAATTATAGATTTGTTTTTTGTTGACTTTGTACCGCGCTTTGAGCCTTTGGGGATGAAGCGTGTTTTTGAAATGAACTTTATTATTATTATTATTATATTTATTTTGCTTCTGGTGTGTCCTGCTCCCTTTTCCAAATTGCCCTTGCCCGCAACAAAACATGTTTTATATTAATAGTACTGAGTGAAAAAAAAGGCTGTTACCTGTGTGGGGAGGTGTGGGGACGTGTGAACTCGGGTTTTAAAAAATTCTTTAGGAGGAGGCAACTATTATATTAATCAACTCTTAAGTGTCAAAAATACATTGTAGAACATACTACACACATTTGGAACTTTAAATCTGATTTCGAAAAATTTGAGAAAAATCATAGGGACTTTTAGAAACATAAGAAACATAAAATCATAGGGACTTTTAGAAACATAAGAAACATAAAATCATAGGGACTTTTAGAAACATAAGAAACATAAAATCATAGGGACTTTTAGAAACATAAGAAACATAAAATCATAGGGACTTTTAGAAACATAAGAAACATAAAATCATAGGGACTTTTAGAAACATAAGAAACATAAAATCATAGGGACTTTTAGAAACATAAGAAACATAAAATCATAGCGACTTATAGAAACATTAAAATCATAAGGACTTATTGAAACATTAAAAACATAAAAAAAGGACCTCCTTAACACTACCCAGTCAATATCTGATGTCAGTAAAAAAAAAAAAATATCTAGACCAACTTATTGTGTTTGGAATTTAAGAAGCTTCTACTGAATGTACAACATGTAAAACAAAGTGAAATCTTCTATGGACGGAAATTGTTCAATGTTTAACCAATGTGTGCCTTTGACACAATACTATCCTCATAAAATGCACACATCCAACCATTAATTTTTGGGTTTTCTTGTGATTAATGGACCCATTTAAAAACAAACATGGTCATTCTGAGCTGTATATGATAGATTATTTAATGTATCAGATGCTTGATTATAGGGAATTATGTCATTGATTAATCTTTTATCATTGACAAGTCTAAGGCTAAGACCTTAAAGCAAATGACATATGACTCAAAAGATGGCAGTGACACAGAAGATGCCAGTGACACAGAAGATGAAACTGAAGACCACCATTCTCAGACACAAACTCTCAGAAAACAGCGGCCACATTTAGGCCCTGTCTCCAGGGCTTCATGTAAGACTTCAAGTACAGAGAAGCCTTCTTTACAGAGGGCAAACAGTGCTTCATCTAAGACTACAAGTACAGAGAAGCCTTCTTTACAGAGGAAAAACAGTTGAGTGTTATTATTATGGGAATATGTTAGTAGTGATGGATCTAGTAGGGCAAAGGTGTTGCCAGTTAATTGTGGGGAGGGGTGTAAACATTTTATAATTTTAATTGTGTGGGAGAGTAAGCTGTTCATAGTTTTAATGTGTGTAGAGAGAGTAGCCAATTTATAAATTTAGTTGTGTAGAGGGAGTAACCAGGTTTTATTGATTTAATGTGTATGGAGGGAGTAGCCGGTTTATAGATTTAATTGTCTAGAGGGAGAAGCAGTTTTATAGCTTTAATGTGTGTGGAGGGAGTAGACAGTTCATAGCTTTGGTGTAGAGTGTGTAGGTAGTTAATAGATATAAAGTGTGTGGAGGGAGTGGCCATTTTATAGATTTAATTGTGTAGAGTGAGTAGCTAGTTTATAAATTTTGTGTAGAGTGAATAGCTAGTTTATAGCTTTTATTGTGTAGAGTGAATAGCTAGTTTATAGCTTTTATTGTGTTGAGGGAGTAGCAAGTTAATACATTTAATATGGAGTTGATTCTATGATAACCTAGCTATTTCTGTTGTCAACTTTGTCTTACAGCTGAGCCAACGCCATCGTCTCCAGCCAAGGTGTTCAGCCGACTGATGGAAGGTGTGGTCTTCGTGTTGAGTGGCTTTCAGAATCCACAGAGAGGAGAGCTCAGAGATAAGGCCCTTGAGATGGGAGCCAAGTACAGACCTGACTGGGGCAGAGGCTGCACACATTTGATGTGAGTTGTTTTTGTCCATGGATTACACAGCGCTTGACATAGCTATCATCTATGTTGTTCCACAAAATATCCTTTAGTTACCAAGCCTAGGGTTACCAAGCCCAGCGTTACCAAGCCTAGGGTTACCAAGCCCAGGATAGTTTAAGATCAATGTATAATGTTATAAAAATGTTTGTCTCTCCTGATCGATCTCTAACTACGGAAACAGGACTTATGGCTTTTTACGCCAATAATTATCCCAAACTATGAACCCATGTCTTGACATGACCAATCTTTGATTTGATATCAACAGATGCGCCTTTACAAATACACCAAAATATCAGCAGGTGGCCGGTCAAGGGAAGATTGTCACCAAATCCTGGATCAATGATTCCTATAAACAAAAGAAACTTTTGCCTTGGCGCAAGTACGTTTGTTATGATCTGTTGGTAGTATGTTTGTTATAAGCTGTTAGTAGTATGTTTGTTATAATATGTTGGTAGTATGTTTGTTATGATCTGTTGGTAGTATGTTTGTTATAATCTGTTGGTAGTATGATTGTTATGAACTGTTGGTAGTATTTTATTATTATCTGTTGGTAGTATGTTTGCTATGATTAGTTGGTAGTATGTTTTTTTTATAAACTGTTCGTTGTATGTTTATTATAATTTGTATGTTTGCTATGATTAGTTGGTAGTATGTTTTTTTTATAAACTGTTCGTAGTATGTTTATTATAATTTGTTGTTAGTCTGTTTGATATGATTTTATTGGGTTTATGTTCATCATGATCTGCTGGTTTGACTCTAAATTTCTCATGAAGTTATGATACAAATATTTTGTGTGCTCATTAATCAGTTGTATATTTGTTAAGACAGAATTAGTTGGCTTGGGAAATGAGAATTAAACTTCATGATTACTCCAATTAGAAATTCCTATTTGCTCCAATGAGATCATTTACTAGTATGTGTTTCAATCCAAAGCAATGTGTGTGTCATTTATGAAAATATATATAGATGGTTAGACACACTCAATAATAACAATAGCCATAAAATGACTTCATATCACACTGTGTGTCATTCATTAGAAGAAATATTTTAAGATAAGCAGGATGACCTAAACAGAAACAAACATTAGCAGTTTACAACTAACTTACCTATTTTGATATTCTAAGTGTCACAATCAGTAATTTCTTATTTCTCAGTGTCTGCCCTGACTGACGGAATCATGGCTATGATTTTTTTCCTGGTTAACAATGATCTTTTATCTTCCCAAGCTATCGCCTTGGAACTGCCCCATCCCCTCCTGATAGTGGTGATGAGAAGGTCAACAGGAAACCAGAACAAGAGCCCAAGAAGAGAGCAACACCTAAAACAAGTAATCCCCCAGGCCAAACAACCCACTTCTGAATCTATTTTAAAACATGCTCTATTGCTCACACCCATTGACCACTGAGCTACCACATGAACCAAGTCTTCTCCTCAAAACCAAAACTCTTGATGTAAACCACACGATGTAAACCACACGATGTAAACCACACGACCATCTCAAATATCCATATAATGAAAGCCACAGCCTTTATCCCAGAGTTTTCCAACCTTTTGCCCCACGCTCCTTCTTAGTTTAAAAAAAAAAGGTTTTATGTCTTCCCAGGTCACCCACTTCTAGAGTTTAAAAAAAGGAAGTCTCCAAGTAGACATATGGAAAATTTGACTTTCAATTTCTCTATCATTTCTCTCATTTTTTTTAGAATATTCTAATTTGCTAGTGACCTTGACAGTCTCAGCCTTAATGTTGCTAAGTTTCTAGGATGACTGGAATTGACCCATTAAGCTTAGCTAGATGGTAAGAATACAATAGAAGTAGATGTTATGCCCCTAAGCTAAGCTAGATGGTGAGAATACAATAGAGGTAGATGGTTATGCCCCTAAGCTAAGCTAGATGGTGAGAATACAATAGAGGTAGATGGTTATGCCCCTAAGCTAAGCTAGATGGTAAGAATACAATAGAGGTAGATGGTTATGCCCCTGAGCTTAGCTAGATGGTAAGAATGCACTAGCAGTATAAAATTATTGAAATAATTTTATAAAGCTCATATGGTTATATGAATTTCTTTATGACAATAAATATTAAATAAAGTAATGATTAGTTTTTTTATATGTCTATATCATGACCATAACAAGAGTTATTGGGCCTGGGTTGTTGAGAAGAATAACACGAGTTATTTACTGGATGTTGCTTTGTTTTTTTTATAAGAACTATAACAAGTGTTTTTGACTAGATGAGCTTGGTTGACCTAAGTGTACAAGTCACACTAATTTATTTTATATGGTTACACAATATACAACCAAAGTTTCTTAATTTTCAGCAGTCCTAAAGTTTACTTTTTTGTGTAATGTTTTTGTTTGTATCTCATTTTGTTCAGGCATTTCATCTAGTGAAAAATTTGATTCTGACTCTAGTTGTGATACAGATGCAGAAAACCTCAAGTAAGAAAATTGGAATTGTAGGTTAACTGTTAGCCCCATGTAACATGTTAGTTATTTCTGTTGGTAGTCCAGTGTAGTATGTAGGTTATTTCAGTAGGTAGTCAAGTGTAGCATATCAGTTTCTTCTACTCTGATTGGTTCACCATTTTTTTAAAAAAACAATTTAGTACTCATGTTAATCCATTGTTAGAAAAAATATAACTATAAATTTATAAATATAAAAAAATAAATGCACACTGTAATCTATAAAAAAATATTACTGTAACCTGTATTATTTAAGAAACATTACTGCACACTGTAATCTATAATAAATATAAATGAAAACTTTAATTTCTGATAATTTTTTTTTTTTAATAATTAATTTTAATTTAACCTAGAGCTGAAAAAAGGGCAAAAACTGCTGCCAATCCTAAACAAGAGAAAACAACTCCAGCTCAAGGGGAGAATGGGACAAAAGCGAAAAAAGAGGATCCTTACTGTAACTCAACTGATGATGATGATGATGAGAAAACAACAAAGAGTTTGACCGTGACAGATACAGAAAATGATGACACCGGCCTTCCTGACTTACCAGATTTTTTTGCAGACAAAGTTATCTTTTTCTATGGAGATATGGACCCAGCCGAGCAGAGGCTATTGACTAGATATATTGCTGCATACAATGGGTGAGTGGTTGACTAGATATATTGCTGCATACAATGTGTCAGTGGTTGACTAGATATATTGCTGCATACAATGTGTGAGTTTTTGACTAGATATATTGCTGTATACAATGTGTGAGTTTTTGACTAGATATATTGCTGCATACAATGTGTGAGTCGTTTACTAGATATATTGCTGCAAACAATGTGTGAGTGTTTGACTAGATAAAATGCTACATACAATTGGTGAGTGGTTGACTAGATATATTGCTGCATACAATGTGTGAGTTTTTGACTAGATATATTGCTGCATACAATGTGTGAGTTTGTGGCTAGATATATTGCTGCATACAATGTGTGAGTTTTTGACTAGATATATTGCTGCATACAATGTGTTAGTTTTTGACTAGATATATTGCTGCATACAATGTGTGAGTTTTTGACTAGATATATTGCTGCATACAATAGGTGAAGGACCCTAAAGATTACAAATAACCAGTCCTCACTATAGTCCTATAGACTAGTATAGTACAGATGATTCTTAGACTTGTGGTCTTGAAATTGTTTTAAGAGCATATTTCTTTTTTCTGTCAATATTGCTGATGAAAAAATTAATGAATGAACTTCAATTTAATAGTTATGACCTAATTTAGGATTAGGCTCCATGAAATGGTTGTGTAATGCTGCTCAGAGATGGTGGAATGGTTGTATAATGCTGCTCAGAGATGGTGGAATGGTTGTGTAATGCTGCTCAGAGATGGTGGAATGGTTGTGTAATGCTGCTCAGAGATGGTGGAATGGTTGTGTAATGCTGCTCAGAGATGGTGGAATGGTTGTGTAATGCTGCTCAGAGCTGGTGGAATGGTTGTGTAATGCTGCTCAGAGCTGGTGGAATGGTTGTGTAATGCTGCTCAGAGCTGGTGGAATGGTTGTGTAATGCTGCTCAGAGTTGGTGGAATGGTTGTGTAATGCTGCTCAGAGATGGTGGAATGGTTGTGTAATGCTGCTCAGAGTTGGTGGAATGGTTGTATAATGCTGCTCAGAGATGGTAGAATGGTTGTGTAATGCTTCTCAGAGTTGGTGGAATGGTTGTGTAATGCTGCTCAGAGATGGTGGAATGGTTGTGTATACTTAACATAGAGGTATTTTTTGCTTTGGTTCATAATGACTTGTCGTCCTGAAACTTATTTGAAATGTTATTATTTGTTGAAAAGTTAAGGAATAACATAATTTAACATGCAAAGAAAATCTTACTAATTCAGTTTATTATGTTTTTCAGTGAAATTTCTGACTATATGAGTCAGAAAGTAAACTATGTGATCACTGCCAAGAAATGGGATGAAAATTTTGACCTGGTAAGAGCTTAATCCTGGAAAACGTTTGACTATCAACAATTTTATTATCAAAATTTTAATAATGTGATTAGCAATATTTAAGAATAAACTAATATTACCGTGAAACTTGAATTCAATAGCACAATATAAAATTCCCTATAACTGTTCCAAACAGCGTGTAGATTTGTTTTCAATAGTTGTGAAAACTCTAATTCCTGCACTAAATGGATTGTTTAAAAACAATGACAGTAATTTTTTTTTTTATTTTTCCAAAATCAAAGACATTAATTTTTATTTTGTTTTACGAATCAAATTAAATCAAAAAAAATAATTATTCTTATATGTAAATATGTGAAATCGCTAAATTGTAAATATCATTATTTAAAATTTTGTATTAAAATTTTGCGTCAAATTTCTTTTTGAACGTATTTTTTGTTTAACTATATAGTATTGTGCATTAAAATAGAAATGTGATGAAAATTTGATCATGTAAACTGAAAATAAATTTCGATCAAATTTCCTTTCAACCAAACTTCCATCGATCAATTTTCCCTCGACGAAATTTCTTTCAAACAAATTTCTGGGTAAGGTGCATTTTATGAGTATAACAATATCTCAAAGTTTCGAATAGGTTAAACCCCAGAAATTGGTATACACATAGTTTCAAAGCTATGAAATAATATATTTAACTTTCTACCTTTTAAAAATTTCAGTGGGGGAAAGAGATGTGTATATTTATGTGTGAAAAATAATATACAGTGGTTCCTCGGTATAAGTCCTTAATCCATTCCAGATCCTTGGACTTATACCAAGCAGGAAGTATACCAAAAGTATTTTTACCATAAGAAATAAAGGGAAAATGATTAATCCGTTCCCATGAAGAAAATAAATCATATTGATATTGGCATATTATACATTTGAGTAACTGTATTGCCTAACGTGGAGGTTTTGGAACGTGCACACATGTTTAGCATACTCTCCTTTCTAATCAAAAGGCGCCTTCACTGGTTAGGTCATGTACGGCCGTGATTGCCATTCTAAGATTGGCCTTTGGCCTAGTGAGCCACTCTTCAAAGTGTAGAACTATATAGCTACTCCATCGTCTCACAAAGACGGAAGGATGCCATATATACATTTATTGACGTGGTTGTATAAAATAATTTAATTACTGCTTAATTCTAAAATACATAAATAAAAAGAACTTTGTGAAATAAATGAAAATTTAACCTCACTTTACATTGGTGAGAAGAGTCAAATGCTTCCTAATATGGTGCTGAGAAGGAGGAGATGTTATTGTTTTGAAGGAGAGTCCGCTTCCAATAAAACTTCAGGAATATGACATTCTGTTGTTTTTTCTTTTTTTCTGTCTCTTTTTCCCTAGTTGACCCTGGTTGAGGCTCACCAGGTTTGACTTTTACAAAAAATCATTTTGACACATACAAGTTCTAGCGTAGTCCAAACGAAGGTGGTATACCAAGCAAAATGTTTCTCGTCCAAACAGGACATATATCAAGTTGGACTTATTCGTAAACCATACATATACCGAGGTACCACTGTATTTAAATCCGATGATATTACAATCGTGAAAAGGAGGTTTTAGATTGTATTACAAAATAAATCAGTGCATGGCACAGTTACTCAAAACACAAGTTGGAAAGGAGAAAATAGTGGATAAGATCAAATGTGACAGAGCCTGAGTTGGGACATTTTTACGTTTGATAACAATATCTAAAAACCAAATCATTTTATGGACTTGAAAATGTAATTTTTAAAAATGGAACGATAATTTATATTTTTTCAGTTCCTGAAAATACATTTTGGTGTGGTGTATGTGTGTGTGTGTGTGTGTGTGGTTGGGGGGGGGGGGTGGTGAACAAATAGGTTTTAAGATTTCTTTAAATATAAGGAAATGTTTGTTTTTTAAATTTTTATGAGATTCAGAATAGTTCTCAACATATACAAGACTATTTCAGAGGTTAAAATTGGTTAAGAGATTCCTCTTTAAATATAAGAATTCCATTTTCTTATTATTTTAAGATAATATGGTTCAGGTTAGTATAAGTAATTTAAAATGGTTAATAGATATTTATAAAAGTTAAGGACATGTTTTTACAATTTTGAAATCAAATGTTTTCTTTGTAGTGGTGTGGAAAAGGGGTTGGGTGGGGCCTATATTGTATAATAGAATATGAATTCTCAAAACCAAATATTAGAAAACTGAACATCTATACATAGATTTGTCTTTAAAAATAACTAAAGTCTGATTTACTATTTCTTAAACTACATTTCAAAGGCATTGAAGTTTCACAATTCATCAAAACCCCAACTAATGATATACATAAAAATTGGATTTTTAGATTTTGAGACTTAGAAACTGTACAGTAGCGCAGTAAATCTTTCATCATATCCCAGTAAAATCGGGTCATATATTATAACATTTAAATAATGTCCTGAAAACTATTGCAATTTCTGATGAAAACTATTCCAAGCCTCATTGCACATATATATGTTGAATTGTATAAAAGCCATGTATTATTGCTTGTATGTTTCAATCCTGTATTCCAACAGGCATTGTCTGAGAATGCCAACCTTGTTTTTGTCAAGCCCAAATGGATCTACCTTTGTCATGAGAAAAAAGCTCTTCTTCCTTATCAGCCTTATGTCATTGTTCCATAAAAATGTCAATACTATGCTTTCTATGTCATTGTTTCAAGAACCTGTCAATAAAATGCTATTGTTTTGTTTTTTTGAAGTGTTTTTTTTTGTGTGTGTGTGTGTGGTGATTACAATGAAATTTTCAGAACAGGGTAAGAATTCTAACATATTTTAAAAAATGGACACTGATCCAACTCTTTCGGCATCAGTCCCACACTTTCAAGCATTAGAAGTAGTCCCACTCTTACAGCATTATAGTCCCACCCTTTCAAGCATTATAGCCCCACGCTTTCAAGCATTATAGTCCCACCCTTTCAAGCATTATAGTCTCACCCTTTCAAGCATTATAGTTAGTCCCACCTGTTCAAGCATTATAGCCCCACCCTTTCAAGCATTATAGTTAGTCCCACCCTTTCAGCATTATAGTTAGTCCCACCCTTTCAGCATTATAGTTAGTCCCACCCTTTCAAGCATTATAGTTAGTCCCACACTTTCAGCATTATAGTTAACCCCACCCTTTCAAGCATTATAGTTAGTCCCACCCTTTCAAGCATTATAGTTTGTCCCACCCTTTCATCATTATAGCCCCACCCTTTCAGCATTATAGTTAGTCCCACCCTTTCAGCATTATAGTTAGTCCCATTCTTTCAAGCATTATAATTAGTCCCACCCTTTCAGCATTATAGTTAGTCCCACTCTTTCAGCATTATAGTTAGTCCCACACTTTCAAGCATTATAGTCCCACCCTTTCAGCATTATAGTTAGCCCCACCCTTTCAGCATTATAGCCCCACCCTTTCAAGCATTATAGTTAGTCCCACCCTTTCAGCATTATAGTTAGTCCCACCCTTTCAGCATTATAGCCCCACCCTTTCAAGCATTATAGTTAGTCCCACCCTTTCAGCATTATAGTCCCACACTGGCAGCATTATAGCTCCACCCTTTCAAGCATTTTAGTCCCAACCTTTCAAGCATTATAGTCCCACCCTTTCAAGCATTGTAGTTAGTCCCACCCTTTCAGCATTATAGCCCCACCCTTTCAAGCATTATAGTTAGTACCACCCTTTCAGCATCATAGTTAGTCCCACCCTTTCAGCATTATAGTTAGTCCCACCCTTTCAAGCATTATAGTTAGTCCCACCCTTTCAGCATTATAGTTAGCCCCACCCTTTCAAGCATTATAGTTAGTCCCACCCTTTCAAGCATTATAGTTAGTCCCACCCTTTCATCATTATAGCCCCACCCTTTCAGCATTAAAGTTAGCCCCACCCTTTCAGCATTATAGTTAGTCCCATTCTTTCAAGCATTATAATTAGTCCAACCCTTTCAGCATTATAGTTAGTCCAACCCTTTCAGCATTATAGTTAGTCCAACCCTTTCAAGCATTATAGTCCCAGCCTTTCAGCATTATAGTTAGTCCCACCCTTTCAGCATTATAGCCCCACCCTTTCAAGCATTATAGTTAGTCCCACCCTTTCAGCATTATAGCCCCACCCTTTCAAGCATTATAGTTAGTCCCACCTTTTCAAGCATTGTAGTTAGTCCCACCCTTTCAGCATTATAGCCCCACCCTTTCAGCATTATAGCCCCACCCTTTCAGCATTATAGCCCCACCCTTTCAGCATTATAGTTATTCCCACCATTTCAGCATTTTAGCCCCACCATTTCAAGCATTATAGTTAATTCCACCCTTTCAGCATTATAGCCCCACCATTTCAAGCATTATAGTTAGTCCCACCCTTTCAGCATTATAGTTAGTCCCACCCTTTCAGCATTATAGTCCCACCCTGGCAGAATTATAGCCCCACCCTTTCAAGCATTTTAGTCCAAACCTTTCAAGCATTATAGTCCCACCCTTTCAAGCATTATAGTTAGTCCCACCCTTTCAGCATTATAGCCCCATCCTTTCAAGCATTATATTTAGTCCTACCCTTTCAGCATTATAGTTAGTCCCACCCTTTCAGCATTATAGCCTCACCCTTTCAAGCATTATAGTTAGTCCCACCCTTTCAGCATTATAGCCCCACCCTTTCAAGCATTATAGTTAGTCCCACCTTTTCAGCATTATAGTTAGTCCCACCCTTTCAGCGTTATAGTTAGTCCCACCCTTTCACTTTCAGCATTATAGTTAACCCCACCCTTTCAAGCATTATAGTTAGTCCCACCCTTTCAAGCATTATAGTTTGTCCCACCCTTTCATCATTATAGCCCCACCCTTTCAGCATTATAGTTAGTCCCACGCTTTCAGCATTATAGTTAGTCCCATTCTTTCAAGCATTATAATTAGTCCCACCCTTTCAGCATTATAGTTAGTCCCACTCTTTCAGCATTATAGTTAGTCCCACCCTTTCAGCATTATAGCCCCAACCTTTCAAGCATTATAGTTAGTCCCACCCTTTCAAGCATTATAGTTAGTCCCACCCTTTCAGCATTATAGTCCCACCCTTTCAAGCATTATAGTCAGTCCCACCTTTTCAAGCATTATAGTTAGTCCCACCCTTTCAGCATTATAGCCCCACCCTTTCAGCATTATAGTAAGTCCCACCCTTTCAGCATTATAGCCCCACCCTTTCAGCATTATAGTTAGTCCCACCCTTTCAGCATTATAGCCCCACCCTTTCAAGCATTATAGTTAGTCCCACCCTTTCAGCATTATAGCCCCACCCTTTCAGCATTATAGTCCCACCCTTTCAAGCATTATAGTTAGTCCCACCCTTTCAGCATTGTAGTTAGTCCCACCCTTTCAGCAT